TGGCAATTGATTACAAAGTGGGGGGAAGATCTTATTCTACTTCTAGCAAAAAAAACATTTTTCTTTTACCTTAATTATACTACCTTAGGGGCCCGCTATAACATATTACCAAGGTTCAATACCGCTGTTTCGGTGGGGCGGTGCTGGGAAAGGAGGGCTTGTTTCTGTGGGGTGGGCAGCGCTGGGGGGGGGGTTGTTTCCGTGGGGCGGGTGTTGTGTTTCGGGGGGGCTGGGCGGCGCTGGGGGGGGGTTTCAGCGGGGCCGGGGGGGGGTTCGGCCCTCAGCTGTTTTCTTTTGAGTAATATGGCCCTCGCCCCTTTACGAGTTGTGCAGGCCTGTCCTATGGTATCCAGAGCCTACAGTAACCCATGGGAGCAGACACCACGGGGATGGGCAGCAGTATAAAACCCTAACAGAGCCATGTAGTTTCCAAGGGATCTGATTCATTCAGAAGCAGTTGTATTGTCTCACCCCGAGTGGGCTCCTCTCACACTCTGGACATGGCAAGGAGCTGCCGGCACACCTGTCTCCGGCCCCTAACCGCTGACTATAACCCAAAGGGAGGTTAGTAAATGCTGTGTGCGCAGCGCCGAGCACAGTGGGGCTGGAGGGGCTCCGGCAGTACGAATGAACGGACACCAATAGGCAGGTCCGAATTCTGTTCCGGAGTTGTGGGGTCTCCTGTCTGTCTCCGCAGAGCGAGACCACCCCGTGCTGGAGAGCTGGCGGGGGTGGGCGGGGGTCACCACCTGGCAAGGGGGAGGGGCAACATTTCCAAGTGACTTAGAGACCTAAGTCCTATTTCCGGAAGTGACTTAGGCACCCGGAAGCCTAAAGCCCCATTGACTTTCCATGAGACTGAGGCTCCTAAGTCACTTGGGAGCTTTTGAAAATTTGACTCTGTCATTGTATGTCTCTGACCCTCTGGTCTCACGTCCCTCCTGCAGCGAGAGGAGGGGGCGTCTGGAATTGCCGCCCCATCGCTCACTGAGCTGGACAACCCTCGGGAGGACGCCCCGGCACTGGGAAGCAGCCACCTGAAGCCTGAGACATGCCGCACCAAGGTGAGAACTGCTTCCCCTCCGAGTGCCGCTCCAGCTTCCAGCCCCCACACCCCCACCCCGGGCTGCAGCGAGCCGCAGGGCGGGTGTTACGGCGGATGTGGCTTGGTGCAAAAAGGGGGAAAGAGGCGAGGATGAGGGAATCCAGTCGACTCGCTTTGGCTGGAGAGGGCGGGCTAGTCCCTAGAGCGCAGGAGATGCGGCTTCTCTGAGCCTCCTTGGACTGAGCCGAAACGGCCCCCAGCAGACCTCAGAGCCGCCTGAGGGGGTGCGTCCCCCCGGCTCCCCCAGGTGCGGACAGGGTGTATCCCGGGGTGGCAGAGCGCATGGTTAGGGTCACCCCTAATGCCACCCTCCACCTACGTCATGCTGCGGCTTCCCACAGCACAGGGCAAGGCCAACCCTTTCGGGGGGTCCTGGCAGGCAAAACAACGACCCAGGCCCCAGACATCTGCCCCTCCGTTACTGCGGCCCCCTGACCCCCACCTCGCTCCCCTCCAGCCCGCCCCGCCCCGTCTTCCGCGCCCACCAGCCACACAACCTCCCTCCCCGTCGCACCGCCTGCAAACGGCTCCTCCTGGCCCTGCCCAGCTGGCAGGTGAGGGTCGTTCCTGCCAGGGTCCCGCTCGCCCTTCCACCCTCTCCCCGGCCAGCCCCTCCTGCAGACCCACGACCACCGGCTCTCTCCGCCCTTGCCTGGGGCTCCCCTGGGATCACAAGGAGACACACGCGGATTCCTAGGTCGCTGAGATCCTCCCGGCTGGCCTCCGGCCCGGCATGTCCCCTGGGGATTTCTGCACCAAGCCCGTATCTTGTGGTGGAGCTAGGAGGGAGGGCTGGCTTAGAAAGCGGCATCCGCGCTGGATTGGAGGACGCCAGGTGACAGAGAAGCCGCCGGGTCCCTCGTCCCATTGTTCCAGGGGTTCATTTCCCGCCCCGTTAACACTTCGCTCCTGATTTCCCTGGCCCAGCATCCGCCCCCCAGAAACCTCCTCTCCAGGGACCGGAGACAACATGCTCCTGAAACAGTCCCGCGGGCGTCCCCCTGCACCCTCCGCTCCCCTTCCCCAGCCCCCTTGTCTCCTGCTAGGCAGCCTGCGGGGGGGGGTCACCTCTCTGCTTGCGGGGGCCCCACGTCACCCGTCTGCCGGGCTCTTCCCCAGGGGCTGGCGGCGTGAACCAGCTGGGGGGGCTCTTCGTGAATGGCCGCCCCCTGCCCCCCTGCAAGAGGAAGAGGATCGTCCAGCTGGCGGCGAGTGGGGTGCGCGCCTGTGACATCTCCCGGAGCCTGAAGGTGGGACTCGGACCGGGGGGGCTGGGGAGGGGGGAGGAGGGGAGTTTATTCCTGAGCCCAGCACATGGGCGGAGGCTGAACCTCCCCAACGGCAGGGCCCATGCTCGGCCCCGAGGCCCCACTCCCACGTCCCGCTCTTCCCTCCCCCGCCCCCCGCTCCTCTTCCAGCCCCCGCTTCGCCTCTCCCTCCACGCCGGCCGGGGCTTGGGCTGGCCAGGGCTCCTCATGCCATGGTTGGGGGCTCAGGGCTCCTCTGGCGGGGGGGCGGGGGGGGGACAGAAGGGGCGGGGCCTGAAGTATAAAGGGCGGGGCCTCAAGCAGAAGGGGCGGGGCAGAGGCGGGGCCTCGGGCAGAAGGGGCGGGGCAGAGGCTAGCCTCTTGGAATGGGGACTTCACGCCCCGCCCGTGTCCCAGCAAATCTACAGATACCAGCAGAACCCACGGGGAGGTCCTGGGGCAGCTGACAGGAGACAAGCAGAGGCCGAAGGGCAAACGCCACGCAGGGAAGGGCCGGGGGGAGCCTGGCAGCAGAGGGCCAAGGGAGGCTGGCAGGGAGGGTGCTGATTTACGGGGCTTGATCCCCTATTTCTCCCATCTCCTTAGGCCCCCGAGTCCCCACCCGGCGCCCCCGCCTCAGTGTCTCTCTCTCTCTGTGCCGCAGGTATCCAATGGCTGCGTCAGCAAGATCCTGGGCCGCTACTACCAGACAGGCGCCGTGGAGCCGAAGGCCATCGGCGGCAGCAAGCCCCGCATGGCCACCCCAGAGGTGGTGGCCCGAATCGCGCAGCTGAAGCTGGAGCACCCGTCCATCTTCGCGTGGGAGATCAGGAGGAAGCTGGGCTCCGAAGGCATCTGCGCCAGCGACCGGACGCCCAGCGTAAGCCACCGCCCGGAGAAGTCACAGAGCCCGGTCCTGGGCTGGCGCCGAGGGCTGGAACTGCAGGGCTCTGGCCCTCCGCTTCCACCCCAGGCGATGCACAGTCGGCTGGGAGCGGCTCTACTCTTGCTACTGTCTAGGGCAAGCCAAGGGTATGGGGAGGGGGCGCTCACTACCCGGACTGCCCCCTCCAGACTCGCCATCCATCGGCACTTTCTCACAGGCTCCACGGGCGAAGTGGCTGGAGGAGGGGTCAGGAGGAGGTGGGACATGGCCTGCCCGATGGTGCAGCGAGGGCCTCCCACGCAGAGGAGAAGGAAGTGGGGGGAGAAGCGGACAGCGGGGGGAATGATGGGGAACTGCCCTGAGAGCGGCGGGGGGTGGGCGCTCATGCCAGGGGTGCCGTTACTGCCCCCGACACACCGTGGGGCTGGTTCTGTTGGAGACCCAAGTGGCACCACCCGTCTGCCTGTCAGGTCAATGGAGTCGACTGTGCAAAGACAGCGCCTGGCACTTCCCGAGGCCAGTGAGAGCACTGCGCGCAGGGGGCGCCCCCGGTGAAAGCCAGGCTGTTTTCTGGGAGGCTCCCCCACAATGGAGCGAATTCCCAGGGGAAATCAGGACGCCCCTCACCTGAGTGTTCCCAGAGAGAGGGGCTCACTAGCTTTCCCTCGGTGGCATCCGGTGCTATCCCCCGGGGCGGACCGCAGCGACCAATCTATCAGAAGGGCCCCAGACAGACAGAGAGAGAATAAAATGTCACCCCCAGGGTCACAGCACAGGGTTAGATTTTCTAATCACAGAGTCTCTCCAGTTTCCATCTCTGATTTGCAGATTGTCTCGCTGCAAATATTAGTATTCATTGAAATTAAAGGGCTTTCCAGCTTTCCAGCTCCTTGGGCGCAGATGGGCGCCGTGCCTTGGGGTGGCGATTCCACAGCACGAACCCAAGCGCAGTCAGGGAAACTCAGGAGCACCGGTGTCCTTCTGGAGGTTCGGCTCCGAGACTGACGCTTCGAGACTTCCACAACTCCAGGCCTGCCCGCATCTGGACCCCAGCTGCCCCACGTCTCCGTCTACACGCCCTGGGCCAAATGAAGTCAACAGAGACACTCCTGTTGACTTCACTCCCCCGGCGAGAGCCGCTTAGCTCCAGGGTCTGACTGGGTCACTGACTCTGTCCCCAAGCGACTCCCTGCGTCTTCTTTGCCCAGGTGTCCTCCATCAACCGGGTGCTGAGGAACCTGCAAGGGGACATGCGGCTCACAGCTGACTTTGGTTTCATGATGGAGCCATCACCACCAGGTGAGACACCCCGTGGAAAGTCCCCAGCATGTAACAGGAACACGCTCGTAACATACATCCGTGGAGAGACACTCACGTGTACCCCCTGTCACGGAGTGAGGGGGGACACAAGGCCCTGCACCCCCTGCTTCCTGCAATTCACCAGGACTCTCAGCCAGCCAGTAAAGCAGAAGGTTTATTTAGAGGACAGGAACACAGTCCAAGACAGGTCTTGCAGGCACAGACAACAGGAGCCCCCTCAATTAGGTCCATCTTGGGGTCCCAGGGCACCATAGCCCCCTTGAGAGGTCAGAGCCCTGTCTGCCTCCCAGCCCTTCCACTAGCCAGCTCTGAAACTCCCTCCCCTTTGTTCCATTTCCCAGGCAAAGGTGTCACCTGGCCTCTAACCCCTTCCTGGGTTCTCATGTTACATGCTTGGGTATCTTCCCTCGGCCAGTCTCCCATCCCCCCATGCAGACCATCCTAGACACACTCCCTTCTCAGCATTCACAGACCATATTAAGAACAGTCCCAATTCGTCACACCTCCCCACCCAACCACACACAGATTGCCACCCCCGCAGACATCTCCTCCCATGGCCTCTATGCAGCGGGCGCTGACCTGTCCCCCAGCGGTAGCGTCTGTACAACCAGAGCCCCCTCCAAGGCCCTGCTAACACAAAACTGGTAGGTAGCAGCTCCCTCCACTCTGGGAAACGCATCAGAACGACCCACTTAGAATCATAGAATACCTGGGTTGGAAGGGACCTCAGGAGGTATCTAGTCCAACCCCCTGCTCAAAGCAGGACCAATCCCCAACTAACTCATCCCAGCCAGGGCTTTGTCAAGCCTGACCTTAAAACCTCTAAGGAAGGAGGTGCTGGCAGACCCATATTTTAATCCTAACCCCACAAATTCCTTCCCTCCTGCCAAGGGAAACCCCGGAGAGCAGGCGCAGGTGGCCTGGGCCAGTATCAACTGCTCTGGGTCAGCCTCTTGGGGGTCTGAGGCCTCCTCCCCCTGGGACTAGCAAGCACAGCACACACCATCCCCAAGGGGTAGGGAGACTCTTCAGTCACTCGCCCGGGCCCCCTTTGGATGGCTGGTCAGTGTCCTGGGGGACACCGCGGGCAGTCCTTGGTGGGTGGAGGGAGAGGCGCTTCTAAGGGCAGAGATCAAAGCGGGGGAAAGAAGGGGGCAACTCCAAGGGGCCCCATTGTCGTCCCCTCCAGAACGCTCCCACGGAGACATTTATTATTATTAGCACCGTATTGTGCACCGTGCATGCCGTTCTATCCGTGAACAGCTCGGGATTCTGCGTCTAGCTCCCAGCCCCATAGCTGGCCTCCCCCTCCCCGCCCCCAAGGAGACCACCCCTCCCAGCATCCCTGCAGACCGTTTGAGTGGCCACCCGAAAGGAAAGCGCCGCTCCACCCGGCGCGCTTCACTCCCCTCTCCCCTGCGCTGCAGGTTCCCCCTGGCCGGGAGAAGCCGTCAGCAAGGGCTCAGCAGAGGCGCCCGCGTCCCGGTGGCCCCCTGGGAGGAGCTCAGCGTCGGCCAGGGGACCCCCGCCGGGCGTCCAGCACCGGAACAGGACGATCTTCTCAAGCCAGCAGTCCGTGGCCTTGGAGAAAGGTGACGGGATTGAGGGCTGGGGGTGAAGCCGCGATCTGATTCTCTCTCTCTCTCTCACACACACACACACACACACACACACACCCATGTACACTCAGGCCAGGGCTTTCCAGCTTCAGAGCATGACCCAAGCGCTGATGGACAGGGTCCGGAAGGCACGTCCCCAAGGGGCAGGTTATGCCCTAATTGTAATTTCAATCGTCCTCTGGAGCAGCTGGCGCTAGTTACGGTGGGACCCCGGCTCCGAATCAGCCGGGCCATTCTCATAATCCTAAAGAGATCCCCTGTTGAGATCAGTGGGGAGGAGGCATTGAGGGCAGGGTGCGGCCCTGTGTTGTGGGGGAGGCGTTGACCTAGCTGTGCGTCTCTGGGGTGGTAGCTGTGGGCCAAGGCAGGATGACTTTGCTCCAAACTCCCTTCCAGAATTCCAGAGAGGGCAGTACCCCGACTCCGCTACCCGGGAGAAACTGGCCTCAGCCACCCAGCTCCCCGACACCACCATCAGGGTAAGTGGGAAAAGCCCCTGATTTACCCCCCCCCCCAAGCTGGCTCTGCGCATGCAAACCCAGGCTGGTGCCAGCTGTGTTTGCACACCTGTGCGAGTGCGAGAGCACGTGTACGTGCAGAGTAGTGTCTGGTCGTGAGCAGACCTGGGCAACACTTTTTGCTGAGACTTTTTTCAGTAAAAGATGCAGATTTGGCGACATCAAAACTTTTCACAAATTCATGTCGGGTTCACCAAATAGTTCATTTCAAAAACGTAAAAAAAATCCCCTCCCCCCAATGAAAATGTTTCATTTTGACCATTTTGAAACAAAAAACATTTGGATTGTTTGGTTGGAAATGACTTGTCGTCTCAAAATGTCCTTTATTCTTTTTTGAAATTTCAAAAACATTACAAATGGCCCAAATCGAAACACAGCCCCTGGTTCACAACTTTCCTATTTGCCGAATGTTTGGAATTTTGTATTTTCCCTCCGACCCCAAATGATATTTTTTCCGACCTTTCGAAATCCCCAGCGAACCAAATCTCTGTACTTCCCGCAGCTCCCTCGGGGTTAGTGACTGTCAGTGAGCAAATGAGCGTGCGGCGAGAGTGCCGCTGCGTGTGAGCGGACGTGTCTCCGCGTGTGCGAGTGCGGGGTGCGCTCGTGGCTGTGCGTGTGGCTAAAGTAGTGAGTGTGACCAAGTGTGTGTGCGAGAGAGCGGCTCAGCCTTCCGGGACCCAGGGGAAGGCTCTGGGCGTCTCCCCAGCACCTTGGCCAGCTACCAGGTGGGAGGCAGACTGCCCGGGAGCTCAGATGTCATTGCCATCTTGGGGTAACTTGCCGTCAGTCCCATGCTGGTGTGTCTAGACCGGTGCAAGGGCGCCACCCAGAGGAGAATGTGGGGGACAGCAGCTAATTTCTGAGTCTGAAGCTCTGGGTATTTTTGTCCTCTCCTTTGCTGAACCAACGGGTCCCAGGCGAGGGCTGATTGGTCTCTTTGCTGGCGGATGGACTGTGGCTCTGCGGACACATATTGGCCGTGCCATGGGGGTGTCAGATCATGAGACAACAGTCACACACACACACACCAGCAGGCACAGCCAGGTAGAGCATTCTGGAAACACAAATCTCACACGCACACACATTCTCATATGTATTCTGGATGCACTTCCTAACGCCAGCTATAAATCACGGTGTCTTGGGGAATATTGAGAAAGATGACCTCTCTTAGGACCAGGCACTGGGGCGTACTGCTGCTCGCTCACCAAGCTACAAAGCATTGGCTTTGTTTGGAATAGCTCAGACAAATGACACCATCATTGTATTACACCAGCCTGCTAAGACAGCATTGCTACTACACACTGCCCAGGCTGTCACGTGACACACTCACAAACCCCTGGGAAACACACACACGCTGGGGCAAAGTCTCCTGGGCCTTGTGCCTGCAATAATCTTTTACCACTATGCAAAGTGGAGACAAAGTGTTTCTGATCTGGGTTTGTTTAGCATATCTTTGCACAGCGGTAAAAGGCCCCACCAGTGGCAAGGCAGAGACGCCAGCCCCCCCATTCTCTCTTCCACACGCAGTGAGACGTGTCTCGTCTATGCCCCATTTTGCCAGGCGAGCAGCCAGCCCCGGCTTAGAAAAGACATTCCAAATTGCCAGAGTTTTGCCCTGGCACCCAGGTTCATGGCCATTAATGCATTAGAGACTGAGCAGAGCAAAGCTTTGGGGCGGGGTGTGAGGATTTAGGGCTGTCGTCATGCGGATGCCCTATCTCCAGCCCCAAATGTTCCAAAAATCACGCGTATGGCTCCAAAAAAAAGCAGGAGATTGAAAAAAATAACTAGTTGGGGAGGGCTCTGAGTTACTTTAGAGAATTCTTTCCCAGGTGTCTGGCTGCTGGGTCTTGCCCACACGCTCAGGGTCCAACTGATCGCCAGATTTGGGGTTGGGAAGGAATTTCCCCCCGGCTCAGATTGGCAGAGAGCCTGGGGGATTTTCGCCTTCCTCTGCAACATGGGGCACGGGTCATTTGCGGATGTAAATGGGGGATTCTCTGTAACTTGACATCTTTAACCCATGGTTTGAGGACAGCAGTAACTCAGCCAGAGCGTAGGGGTCTGTCACAGCAGTGGGTGGGTGAGATTCTGTGGCCTGCGATGTGCAGGAGGTCAGACTAGATGATCATGATGGTCCCTTCTGGCCTTAACGTCTGTGAGTCTATGAGTTTCCTTTTTCGTTGCCTTCTGGGTTTGGAGCCTTTAGGGGCCAGATCGTCCAGCTTTTCATGAGTGTTTGGGTGCACCCAGCCTGGAAGGGTGCAGTGGATCATTGGGGGATTGGGGCAGGTCACTGACCGTCTCCCTTCTCCTGTGCTAGGTTTGGTTTTCAAACCGAAGAGCCAAATGGAGACGAGAGGCAAAGCTGAAGCTGGAGACTGACCGTGCAGGTGACAATCTCCGTGCATTGCTGAGGCGTGACGCTCCCAAGGGAGCTTTGACAGTCCTGTCCCCTCCGTGCACCTCCTCTCTCCCCAAGCCAAATGCTCTGGTCTGGAAGCAGCCTGTGGACAGCTGCCCAGACACCCCCAGGCAGTCTCTGATGGGCAGCAATGTCTTTTATATCATCTGTCCATCCCATCTTACTCTGCCCATGCAATTCAACCCTTCACTGCCGCTGGCATCCAGGACTGGTTCAGCCAACACATTGTCATTTCATTTTCAACCTCTAGGAAAACCTTCTCCCCTTCAAATTCTTGGTCAGCCGCATGGGCTGGGTTCAGTACAGCTGCCACCTTCACGGGCGCCCCCGCAGTGCCAATACCAGCTCTCCACGGGCACCCAAGCTCTGGGTTAGACATTGGAGAAGACTCAAAGTACTCTAAGGCTAGTGAAGCACAGGAATATCTCACCGAGGGAGGCCGTGCAAGCCCTGTTTTAAGAACAGATCAGCCAAACACCTGTCAGGGATGAGTTACATGTATTTGGGCCTGCCTCAGCAAAATGGGGGGAAAGGGGTGGACTTGATTCCTTAAGGTCCCTTCCAGCTGTTTGTAGGATTCATACCTACAAATATTGTTCTGTGGCGCTCTATGAGATTCTTGCCCCGGAAGTTGGTAGAGAGACGCCAAGATCATTTTTAATAAGAAAGTTGGAGAAGGGATCCAGGAGTCAGGACGCCTGGTTCTATTCCCAGCTCCGGGAAGGAGTGTGAGCTAGTGGCTGAAACAAGGGACTGGGAGTCAGGACTCCTGGGTTCTGTTCACAGCTCTGTGGCTGACGTGCTGTGTGATCTTGGGCAAGTCACTTCACTTCTCTGTGCCCCGGTTATGAAATGGAGGCGATGACTTTCCCCGGTGGACGGGTGGCTGTGAGGCTCGTGAATGTTTGTAAAGCACGTGGCGGCCGTCGCTAGCGAAGCGTCCATACGATATTCTCTTCCTTGCCTCGCCCAGGGTCGTGGTGTGACTGGATTCTGTCCCCCTTTGCACCAACTCCCCAGGCCTTTGCTGCTTTTCATCCGTCCTCAATGACCGACACCATCTCCACACAGGTAGGCAGTGTGCCCTGATCTCCCCCTGGGCCAGCTCTGCCTGGGAGGCTAACCCTAGACCCAGGGTTTTTCCCGTTTCCGGTGTAATCCCCAGGATTCCCCTCTGCCCGCCAGACCCACGCCGTCAGCCAGCAACGGGGCTCTGGCCCTTCTCCCAGGGGATGATCCCGGCTGGATCCACCCCGTCAGGATGGTGGATTAGAGTATAGCAAACTAAGACCCCCATGAGTTCTGAATGGGCGCGTCCACACGGGGGTTTAATGCACTTTAACATCACAGAGTTAGTTAATGCATTTTAACTCTCCGGAGGGCTCCCACGTAGACGAGTCCTGAAGGAGCAAAGCAGCTGGATTCCTGTGAGAGAGGAGCTGGCCCGGAGCAGGCTGGGGCCCTGAGTCTGGAGCGTCCCATCAAGCATGGCCTTGCTCCTAGCAGGGTGCTGGTGGCCGCTGCCCAGCGATGTTCTCTGGGTGACCTTCCCAGTGTGTGACGTCTCTCTCCTTTCTGCTCCCCTCACAGCACCTGGCTGCCTCCCCAGACACCCCCAGCTTCACTGTCTACCCGGGGACCTCCCAGCCACTGCATCTGAGCGCCTCTCCGCCCGGCACTTGGGAAGAGCCTTGCTGTGGTAAGTGGGGCTGGACGACTCCAGGCCTGGCTCCTGCACCGCGCGGTTTCCACAGCGTCTCCGGCTCAGCCTGTGGGGTAATAGGGCCAGGGACATCTGTCCTCCACTGCTCCATGGGAGGGGGTGGATAGCTCAGAGAGGGCACAGATGAGTAACCCAGAGGGAAAGCACCCAACAAGGCTCCAGTGACAGGGGAGAAGGAGTGAAGTCCCCCTCTTTCCCTCCTCTGGAGACTCCATCTCAGGCAGAAAGGAGACCTCGGGGGTGGGGAGGAGACAGGCAGGGCACCTGGGGGAGGGGATCCCAGGACAGCCCCCACCCATCACTGCCATGTGCACCCAGCTCTGAAGGCCTCTCCTCCAGGGATGCCCCCAGCTCCAGGCTCGCTGGGGATTCACCCAACCCCAGTTAGAAGGGGAAGAACCAAATGACATGAGCCTGGCTGATCCTTTGTTCTTTCGCTGCAGGGCTGGCTCCCGGGGGCACTCTGCCTCCAGCTTCTTGGAGGCCAGCTCTGGCCCTCCCTCCCTTGGACGCCTCACCCTTCGCTCTCCCCGGTGGTGCCCCGCAAGTCCCCTTCTCTCTGCCGCCCAGTGCCACAGCGATGCCCCCCTTGCACCCTCCTACTCCCCCTCTGCTGTCCAGAGCCCAGTTCCTCTCCGAGGATCGGACGCCTGGGTTCCATCCCCGCAACCCCGGCTCAGCAGCAGCCTTTGGACACTTCCACTCCAGGCTTCAGGGCTTATGATGTTTCCCTGGTGTACTCGGAAGGCAGGAGGCCCCAAAGATGGGCTGCCCTGCCCCTTGTTGATTTGCAGCCGGGCGGGAGCCCACAGAACCCCGTTGTCTAAACCATTCCCTAAGGGGAAATCTGACGCTGAACCTGGGCTCAAGGCGTCTAAGCAACTTCATGGCCCCGATGCTGCTGATTGTCATTAGAGATGTACCTCCCCATCGCTGCGAGCTGCCCGCTACCCCGGAGAACACTCAGCTGTTAGACCCCTCCCCGTCAGCACGCACTCCCGCAGCCATGGGAGGATGGGCCACAGCCCCTGGGGCTCTTGGCCGGGCTCTCAGAAGGGGCCCAAGCACAGAGATGGGGTTATCCTTAATGAACCACCCTGTCAGGGAGTGTGGGGGGACACAAGGCCCTGCACCCCCGGCTTCCTGCGATTCACTATGGCTCTCAGCCAGCCAGTAAAGCAGAAGGTTTATTTAGAAGACAGGAATATAGTCCAAGATAGGTCTTGCAGGCACAGACAACAGGACCCCCCCCCCCAATTAGGTGCATCTTGGGGTCCCAGGGGCACCACAGCCCCCTGGGGGGGGGGTCAGAGCCCCGTCTGCCTGCCAGCCATTCCACCAGCCAGCTCCTGAAACTCCCTCCCTTCCCAGCCTTTGTTCAGTTTCCCGGGGAAAGGTGTCACCTGGCCTCTAACCCCTTCCTGGGTTCTCATGCTACATGCTCAGGTATCTTCCCTCGGCCAGTCTCCCATCCCCCAATGCAGACCCTCCTAGCCACACTCTCCTGCCTTCCCAGCCAACACTCCCCACTCAGCATTCAAAGACCACATTAAGAACAGTCCCAGTTCGTCACATCTCTCCCCCCTTCGAGACCGAACTGAGCAGGGTCACTTTAGCCAGTGACCCGGGGAAGTTCGAACCTACCCCCGTTCCCATGGATGCCCCAGCATCCCTCCCATTCCTTGGTGAGAATTACACCAGGCCCTTCCAGTTTCACGCCCCCCCTGAGGTCTGGTGTGCTCGATGACACTCGTAGTTCGCATGGGGGAAGGTTTATGCGGCCTGTGCCTTTTTCCCACCCCAATACCCCTGGGGTTCCAACTGGGCTGGGGTCTTCTCCCAGCGTTCCAGTCTGGAGGTCAGTGATTCAGGTTCTTTTGGTTCAGAGCCCCCCTTTTGACCTTGGCCACCTTCTGGAAAGGCTCCTCTATGCTTGGCAAGGGTCCTAAGGCCATTTTCCCCTTGTCCCAGGCCTTCCTCCCCCTCTGACAGGGGTCACAGGATGCGCAGTACTGTCGGACAGTAACAAAGACCCCAGGCCAGTAAAAGCTCCGTAGCAGCCTCTGCCGGGTATGCCAGGTTCCCTGGTGCCCTGAGAGAGGAATGTCATGGGCCCGGCACAGCAGCTGGCGGCGATACTTCCGGGGGACCACCAGCTGCCTCCTGAACCCCCCTCACTCCATTTTCCCTGGGGAAGCCCATTCTCGGTACAGGAACCCCTTCTCCCACAGGAACCTTTTCCGGCCACCTCTCTCCATGGTCTGCACCGCACTGAGGTCGGCCAGGTCCCTTATCTTCCGCAAGGAGGGATCTCTCTGCACCTCGGCCTGGAACTCAGCAGCTGGGACAGGGATGGGCACCTGCTCTCTCTTGCCGGCTAGGTCTCTACCCAGTCAACCCTCTGTGGGTTGGGTCTGCTCAGTCTGTCCCTGAGCCTGAGGCACTGGGCCAGTATGTGGCCTCTTTGGCCACAGTGATAGCAGCCCATGTCCCGTGGGTCCCCTCGAGTGGGTCGGATGGACCTGACGCTGGATGTTCCCCTTTGGTGGGCGTTCTCCATATTTCCCCGCTGGGAGGTCCCATGGTGACTCTCTCTCTGCGTTGTGGTGGGACTGTTCCTTTGGGACTCCTCCCGGTTATCCCCTGCCCGACTGTTCACAAACTCGTCGGCCAGCTGGCCTGCGTGCTGCGGGTTCTCTGGTTTTTGGTCCATCAACCATCGCCTCAGGTGGGATGGGCACTGCTCACACACGTGCTCCAGTACGAATAGGTCAAGCAGGTCTTCTTTAGTTTGGGCCCCTGCTGTTCACTTGCGGGTATACCCCTGCGCCCGGTTGGCTAGTTGTAGGTATGTGACCTCACGGGTTTTACGCTGAGTCCGGAACCTTTTCCGGTATGTCTCAGGGGTCAGCCCAAACTCGCGGAGCAGGGCCTTTTTGAACAGTTCGTAGTCCCCTGTCTCCGCCCCTTTCAGTCGGCTGTACACCTCCCTGGCTGTGGGGTCCAGTGAGGGGATGAGAAACTGGAGTCTGTCTGCAGGGTCAACCTGGAGCAGCTCGCAGGTATTCTCAAAGGCCATCAGGAAGGTATCCATGTCCTCCCCCTCCTCACGCTGGGCCAGGAAGCACTTATCAAAGCTCTTTGCAGTCTTGGATCCCCCCTCGCTCACCACAGCTGGGGCCCCACTGCTCCTCAGCCTGGCCAGTTCCAGCTCATGCTGACGTTGTTTCTCCTTCTCTTCCCGCTCCTGCTTCAGTTCTTGCTGCCTTAACTCGAGCTCTTCCAGTCTCATCTCCCATTCATATTCCAGCCGCATCCATTCCAGGGACAGGGAGCTCCGCCGGGACGATCCCCTGCTGGCCACCGGGGTCAGGGTGCCCTCAGTATTTTCTGGACTTCCCCCAACCCCTTCCCTAGGCATAGGTAGGCAGGGTCTCGGGATGTTCTCGGCAGCAGTCTGACCCCTCCCAGCGATGTCAGGCCCCGGGGCCCACGCTGCATCCGCCGGGCGGCTTCCCTCAGGGACAGGGCTCGGTTCATCCAAGCGATCCCTCTCCTCCAGCTGGGCAATGAGCTGTTCTTTGGTGGACCTCCCCATGCGCAGCCCCCTCTGCCTGCACAGCTCCACCAGGTCACTCTTAAGGCATTTAGCATCCATCCTCCTGCTGGCCACTCGCCGGCCTGTGCTCTCCGCTTTCCACCGTTCCAGGGGGACCCCTAGTGTGCCAGCCCTCTTCAGGTCACCGCCTCTCTGCCAGGGTCGAGCGGCAGACTCCTCCGCCCCTGGGACCGCTCGCTGCGATCCCCCAGGGGACCCTGTTACTGCAAAGGTCCTTCTCTCTGGTCACACACTCCCAGTGGTTAATCGCCCCCTGAAACCGTCTCTCTCTGACTCTTCAGCCCACCTGGTCCCCGTCGATCCCCCTTCGTTTTACTGCTCCCCAGTCACTTACTGCAGGAAGCGCCATCCACGGGGTGCAGTAGATCCCACCACTACCACCAGTTGTCACGGAGTGTGGGGGGACACAAGGCCCTGCACCCCCGGCTTCCTGCGATTCACCATGGCTCTCAGCCAGCCAGTAAAGCAGAAGGTTTATTTAGAAGACAGGAATATAGTCCAAGACAGGTCTTGCAGGCACAGACAACAGGACCCCCCCCAATGAAGTGCATCTTGGGGTCCCAGGGCACCACAGCCCCCTGGGGGGGGTGTCAGAGCCCCATCTGCCTGCCAGCCATTCCACCAGCCAGCTCCTGAAACTCCCTCCCCAGCCTTTGTTTAGTTTCCCGGACAAAGATGTCACCTGGCCTCTAACCCCTTCCTGGGTTCTCAGGTTACATGCTCAGGTATCTTCCCTCATGGCCAGTCTCCCCTCCCCCCATGCAGACCGTCCTAGCCACACTCCCCTGCCTTCCCAGCCAACACTCCCCACTCAGCATTCACAGACCACATTAAGAACAGTCCCAGTTCGTCACACCCGCGTTGTGAAGCGGGGAAGAGCGAGCCCACAGCCCGCGCTGGGACATAGCAAGCTGGACTTGATTTCACACAA